GTCGTTGTAGAAGTAAGGTTCACTTAAAAAATAAGTAAAAAAAAAGAGTATTCCAAAGTTGAAAAACTTTCTAGTTGGTCATCTCGACCTCAAGATGTATAGATTTAAAGATTTCAAAGTGTTTATAGACCCGTTCAATCTACACCATTATTAAATTTTTGAAGCTTTAAACTATCTAGAGCATCTTTTATAAGATTGTTTGTTACAAAATAGTGTATCTTGTAACAAACTATCTAGAGTGTCTATTTATAAGATTTCAAAGTGTTTATAGATCCGCTCAATCTACACCATTATTAAATTTCTAAATTTCATAAGTAAGACCAAGTATTGATTTTTGAGCTATTACGAGGTTTTCGACATCAAAACTATATATTCTAGCAAAAATTTGTAGTGCGCCTTATTTGTATAGTATAAGATAGGCGCCTTATATAGGCCTCGCCATGTATAAAATTGTTAATAGCTAAAGGGGGCGGTTTCTATAAGGTTGCAACATTAAAAAATTCAATTAAGGTGTACCTCCAAATTTTATCATAACATATAATTTTGTTGTAAAAAATTATTAGTATTATATTAAAATCTATCTTTATATCTAATTAGAAAATTTTAAACTCCAAAAATGGTTAAAATCAAGGAGATCTATAAACATATGAAAATCTTGAAAATTGATAGTCTAGATAATATGTTGCAAGATGCACTATTTCTAATACTCAAAAACTTTTTTTTTATATATTCATACATCTTGATGTGGAAATGATCAAATGAAGGATTTTTCATCATTAAAACAACCTTTCCGATAGATTTTTGAGGTGCATAAGTAATTCTACATTTTAAGGTTGCAGCCTTATATAAACATTTCCCATATGACTAAATCCTGCTTCATACTAATTTTGACTACTAAATCCTACTTCATGCCAATTTTGACCATAGAATAGTCATATAGGCAAAAGAAGAGGGAGACTGGAAAAGTAAACTTTAAGAGAAAAGCACACAATAGTCAACATGAGAGACAGAAATAGAGATTAGAATGGTCATCAAATGCCCGTGAGAATGGGCAACAAAAGAGAAAAATAGAGAGAGAGAGAGTTGAAATTGTGGGCCGTTGAAATGATAATAATATGATAGGGTTGGTGGTTGGTTAGGGTAAATGCATGAGCATTCTATCCTCCTCTTCTTTCTAAGCTATTTTCCCAAACCTAACTCACGTGACCCAGTGCAAATCATCTTAGGACCAGCCCCAAAAATGGAAGGTAATAAATTGGATTTCATCATAAACACAATCAAAACATAGAAGTTGCCATTGTCAATAATAATAATAGAATGGATGCACATGAAAGACCTTGCGTGTCAGCTTTCACTCAATCTCTCACATTTTGTGGCCCTTCTCAGTATATGTATGCGAAAGGGAGAGCGGCATTTATAGTAGATAATCTTTTTGTATACTTTTTCGCATTTACGGTATATGATCTCTTTGTATAATTATATATGGCTATTTCTTTATTGTATTCAATATTGTTGGATCACTTATTGCCCTTTGTTTTATAATACAAAATTTTTTAAACAAATGTATTTGTTATCATTAAGAGGGATATAATAGATATTTTTACAAAAAGTAGTTATTGTTCCATGAGTGATGTAACATTTGTAATCATCCTTTATAGTTGATAATTTTTTTTATTTTTATCAAGAATTTCGACTTTCATCCTGATTAATTACTTAACATATGCTTAAATAAAAAAATTAATGCTTGGTGAAATACAAGCATTAAATATCCAACCATGCTTAGTACTTTAAAAAAAGGGAAAATATCCAACAATGTTGAGTTTTTTTAAAAAAAGTAAGTATTGAATGAGATCATTTACCTTTGGTACAAGGTGAAACATTAATCTTGACCATTGGATGTGAAATTGAGTTGCTGCAAGTATTCAATTGACCAAGGTCAAACTTCAAAAGAAATTTTTTCAAACTTCGTGACACATCCAAACGATCAAACTTCACATCGAATAGTTGTAAGTAATTGTAACCACCTTGTATCAAAGGTAAATGGTCTCATTGTATACAATCCCTTATAGAAATGCTGCTCACACTATGAAATAATTTATCATTGTACTCAACAATTTTGAATACTTTTATATCCATGTTTTGTGCATATAGAATTTTTTAACAAAGATATTTTTAATCATTAAGAAAAAATGATGTCATCTACATGAAGTATGATATCACCCATATGGAGCACACGAGTGACATTTAACATTCCATATAATTGATATCACATCCCATAAGAATAACATCACACCCTCTAAATAACAAAAAATACTCCTATTAAAAAAAAAATCATGTACAAAACAATGATATAAAAAAACCCACTATTGTAGATTAACATAATCCATATATATATATAAAGACTGTCTATTAAAAAATCATTTATCTTTTATACATAAAAATCACAATCATTTTTACTTAATAAATGTCAAATTAAATGTCTTGAGATAAATCACGAAGTCCAACAATTTTTTGTTTGAAACTTTATAT